ACTTTTTCCATCAATTTTCTCTCAAACACTGGAAATCATGATGCTCTATTCTGTGAACAGCCAAAGCTAATATCTCTTCACTTCAGTGCTACAGCAAAAACACACAGAATTCACTCTTTGCTATTCACTATCATCACAACCCTCACTGTTCCATCTCTGCCCTCCCCCCATATACAGGCCTTATGAATCCTAGCCTTCCCCTGTTTAATCCTATTTCTATAGCACAAAGGGAAACAGTACAATTTGGAAATTCAAATTGAAATAAATGGAATAGAATTTATTCCCATATATATTCCCCATTTCATTGTACAGAATTATTTTAAATTATAGTTTTAAATAGAAGCTGAGTATATGCCTTAAAAATGAGCATTAAATCCATCTTAGAGATGGTGCCTGCTTTTTACATGATGGGTGTACACCATCTTTTAATTTCATTTACATTTCAATCGAACAATAGATTTGCAAAGAAAATGTCTAATACAGACGTAAAAATATTCACACTAGAGCTTCACAATCGGTTGTACAATTGACAAACAGGCCTCTTTTCCCAAACTTTCCAGCTAAGCAAATTTATAAAATGTAATCAATGCAACAAGAAAAAACATTTCTCTTTCACTTCCAGGGAAAAGAATATGCAATAAACAGTATAAATGCAGACAGCAGTTGCTGCAAGCTAACCACGATACTCCCAAGTGGCTGTACAGTGGATATGTGCAGTACAAATAAAAGCCACATGTGTTGTATCACAACTACAGTATAATTGTTTGCCCAGCTAAGAGAATGCATGCACTTCCATGCCTTGGGTTATAAAGTGAGGCCTAATTCTTGACAGATTGATGGAATATATGCAAATGACCTTGGCTTTTGGCAGTACTAAGTGCAGCCAGTGTCTGTGTTCCACTGGTTTAAGGAGATTTAAAATTTTCTTATTTAAAAAAAGAAAAAAACTGCCAATTTCGGACTTTGGGGAATAACTGCTCTTGGAGTAAAAATAGGACTCCACTCAAATGTGGGGTGTTCCGATTGGTGGCCTTGACTCCTTGTATTCCCTTGCCAGCAAAGGGATACAAAGAAACTGCTAGTATAAAGGAATGACTAGCAAATTTATTTGATTTATTCATAAGATGAGATACTCCTTGAGCATGTGCATTTGTGTTCTGCTTGCAGAAGGGGTTCTTATGTAGGAGTTACAGCAAGTGATCCCAACAACACTCTTCATTCACTAAGACACAAGGAAATTTCTTCCAGGAAAGCAATACACAGTTGCAAATGCAACTTTCCCCTTGAATGATTAGTCACAATACTAGTGACAGTCTGCTCAGAAAATGACTCTAGCAACTAGGGAAGAAATATTCAGATTCAAAGCTGAAATCACATGCTCAATCTGATCATTACAAACTCCACGCCTGTTAACAAGACAACATGGGCTTTAACATCTAAAATGCACAAGCAAGCTAGATCGTTTTTAAAACAAGTTTTCAAATGTTTAAATGATCCCATTTTAAATTCCTACAAATTATTGTGCATCCTCTAATTTTCTCAAAGCAGCATACAAAATTGAGATGTGCTTTATAAACTTAGAATCAACTTGAAATTTGAGTTGAAAGTGACCAGATCCACACAAATAGAAAATTTCATTTCTAGTACAGGAGGTTTCGTTTATCATTCTGAGAGTAAACAGCTACTAGGAAAAGTATCAGTGCTACTGACTCACTGAAGTACCTCCTCTTGATGCACAACTTTCACACATGATGCTGGTTTAACTAGATGGTGTTGAAAGTCATGGCAGGAAAGCAAAGGAATCTCCTTTGTTCAGGTACCAACTAGACAAAATACTTCAGTAACTTTCTCAGGATTCGTGAGATAAGATGGGACCATAAGGAAAGAACTACTGATGCTACATCATAGTATCTGAATGAGGCACATGAACTTCAGAATGTGACCCAGAAGTTTTAAAAAACACAAAAGTCAAAACAAAAAACCCCCACCATTTTCCCACTTTCCAGACCTCAGACTACTTTTTCCTAATTAGACCACACACCGCATATGCAGTTTAGTTGACATTACAAACTTCCTCTCCTATTGCTTTATATCTTTTGATTTCAAATATATGTACATCATAAACATGTTGGTAAAAGGATCAAATGACAGGGAATACCCCCAATATAAAAGTCACACTCTAGGTCTGATTTGTGATTTTTTCCTCTATGATACCATTAGGTACCTTTCAGAAGAAGGATCAGATTAACTGCTCTTTCTTCTCAAGTGGCAGAGAACCAATGTCTTTAACTACAAATTTACTTCAGGCCATGAGAAACAGAAGATGGTCACTACATAGAGGATGCAATACAGAATCATCCCTACACAGAAACAATTCCTATGCTGTTAGTGAGGAAGAGAGTAAGTTTTTAAGAACAGGGAATTATTGTTTTATGGGATCACCTGCTGCAAGACAAGCATTATTTTAATATAAATGTTCTGAGACATACCAATAAAGTTGGCAGGTATATACATACACTGATGCAAATGTAATTTCACTGGACAAGTAGGCAAACACCTAAGCAGTTTATCCCAACCCCCTCCAGCAGAGCACAACCAAGTTTCAAAACTTCAATTTTAAAATTAAAAAGATAAGGTTAAATACACAAGATCAATTTATGTAGTATATATTCACCCTCAGAACGTGCTGAAGATGTTTTGCGTAGTTCTGTTGCACAGAGGGTTCTTTCCCTGAGGGCACATAAGGAGCTCTCAAACTGTTAATAGGTCTCTATTTTGTAACAAAATAGCAATTTTAAAATCTTAAAAAAAAATACATTACCTTCAACATGGAAGATCTCACTATTTAAATATCCATGAAATAAACATACTGGTTTGCATATCCTTTTTGGAAATACAAACAGCAAATAAAGTACATTGGAAGCATTTCAAATGTAATAAGCGCATATTTTATAGAAAGGTTCTGATATAAATTATATAATAATCATGTTCCTGTAATATCCTAGGCTAATTCATAATGTCGGAAATAAGTTAATGTAACATGGTTTAAAACTCTTGTTCCTATTCATTTCAGGTTACAGAGTGAAATAAATAAAATGTCTTTGTAGGGATAGGGGCACTGGCCATGGCAAAAAGATACAGTACTAACCAAAGGAAACTAAGTCAAGGTTACTGTGCTGTTATGCTACAAACAAACATCTTCATACATCTGAGTATTAAATAAATGTGTAAGATCTTCCATACTGACACCAGAATATCAAAACTACCCCTTTGTTTCTCAGGTATATTTACAACTTATCAGTCACCTTATGAGCATGTTCATTAAGACAGGTATCAAACACCAGTATTTACTCATTCTGATCAAGAAATTTCAGGGAAATGTCAACCCTCCCACCCCTGGAAATGTGCACAAAACTTTTTATCAAAATCTTATCTGATACAATGCTGTGGTTTTGTAAAACAACTAAATAGCTCAGACGACCAATAACATGATCCTGTTTAAGCATCTTGCTAGCAGGAAAAGCCCTTACATACAGTACACCTGGTGAAAGATCAGCTTGGCTTAAAATATTCCAGTACAATTTTCAGAGTAAACAACTTCACAGAAGTTAATTAAAAAATAACAATAAAAGTCAAACTAATCTTAAAGAAATAAGAGGGGGAAAAACAAAGACACAAACTATAGGTAAGATCACCAGGAAGGAATGCCCAGCTTTTGTTTTCAAATGTTGACTGAAATTTAGGTTTCAGTAAAATATCTCCCACAAATTTGGAGCACAGCTTCTTGAACATACTGCATACTTTCAGATGCCAAGTCAAAACACTTTTCAGTCACATTTTAGCAGGGCAGCAATCATTCATGTTTTTAAGTATGAATAAAGGTTAGCCAATATTCTATTATTACATGGTTCATAGTCTTATCAACCTAACAGTCAGAAAACAAGGAAAATTAAACCCCAACATGAAGTAACAATAAACAATATTTAACCAAGATAATGCAATGAACATCCAAATTAATTAAATTAAAAACCCAGCAATACCATCTTGTTAGTCAGTGCAAACGCTACATACAGGGTTTTCTCAAAAAAGCTGAAAGCACCTGATTCTTTTGCCAAGTCATCAGATTCAATAATGTACAGGCTTAAATCTGCATTTTTAAAAAACTGCCATTACATTAGTGCATAATTTATCAAAATTGTAAAAACGATTCTGCATAACTTAGGAGAATTTAATATCTAGTACATCAGCTGAAAGACTTAGGCACTTGGTTATATATTTAATTACTTACTTCAACAAGTAGCCTGTGTATAAATATTAACAAAGCAGAAACTATTCTTGAAAAATGGAAAATTGAAAAAAAAAGTTAAATGCTACAGATAAAAGCACTGCACCACACTCCTACATATAATGCAGTAAAGAAAGCTAGTATATAACCCTGTAAAATTCTATGGTAAGAACGTTTAACTCCACTCTTCAAAATTAAAAAAAAAAATAAGAGGAAAAAAAAATCCATGCAAAGTCCCATGAAAAAGATAAATAAAGCAGCTGGAATGAGATGGAATTTTCTCTCAGTGAAACATAAAATAGAAATAAATAAGTTAATTAAGTCTACTTTCACTAGATGTATCATTGTAGGATCCTGCTAGTTTAATAACTGAGTTGTTAATTTTCTATACAAGCCATTTAAAATAGGAAATGGCTCAGTTACTGCACCGGATTGCTACAAACTCATAAAAAGCTGCTTGAAGCTTAAGTTAAATGTCCAAATTCCAATCACTTCTGGAAAGTGAACGTGTTACCCTAGTAAAGTAAATTTTCTTTTTTTTCATAATGCTAATGCAAGAGGGCTTGAAGTATCAAAGAGTCCACAGGAAATGGATGCCCCCAGTAATATCTTTTTTTTAAAAAAAATATACATTATATAATATATATTATATATATAAAAAGCTAGTGTAAATGCTTCCATGGTATGGTCACAAATTTGAAAGATGAACCTCCTTTCAGCTATTAACCATCTTCCCATTTGCAACAGATTTTAAAAAGTCGTTTTTATCTTCAGACATAACATGAGTTTTCAGAATGAGGTTGCCAACACTGACAGATGTGGTGATGGGTAGGCCACTCGCATTGCTGATGGACACTGGGAGTGGCTGGCTAAAGCAAGAAGTTACCGGCAGAATTGTTTTTTGCTCTTCCCTGGGAGAAAATAAATGACATTGAAAACAAATCAGCTTTAAGTGAAAACTTTTAAGAGTAACCATGCATACTGAATAAAAGCTATAACACACTTTAAGAGCCCCTAGAAACAGCATGTCTTTTTCACTAAAACGAATCAGAGGTCACTAAAAAAAAAAAATCCCATTTTCCAAAAACTTAATAAAAAAATTAGAAGATTGGTTAATTTAAGGCCAACAAACTATCAATTCAAGATAAACCCGTATTTTTGGCAGTAATTATACTAAAGATCAAGAATATCCTAACATGATTTTTAAAAAGGGAAACCCTTTATTTAGGTTTTAATTCTACATTTTGTAGTTTTGATGCTTGCCTATCAGACAGAGAAAGTATAACCTGATTATTGCTCAGTCGCTAAGTCATATCTGACTCTTTGTGACCGCATGGGCTACAGCACACCAGGCCTCCCTGTCCTTCACTATCTCCCTGAGTTTGCTCAAACTCATGTCCAGAGTCAGTGATGACATCCAACCATCTCATCCTCCTGATGCTCAAGTATAAAAATAAACACTGATCCCAATAAAAAGCAAGTTTCAGGCTACTAACATGAAGCACTTTGCTAGTTCAAATTTACCTCTGCTCTCCTAGAAATCCAGATGACCAAATCATCGCCTTATTACATAAGGTTTTCCCCTCATAGGATAAAATAAAAAATGAATTTAGTAGTGTATCTATTTCTCTTTAAATATTCATGGCTTATGCCCAGTGGTTATGAATCTTACGTCTAACACTCACAGAATCACACGGTCTTCACCTAAACTCTGTCTGCTCTGCTCCAGAGGCTCCTCTTGGTGCTGCTGGACTGGATGCCCATTCTCTACTGCTGTTCCATTCAGCAACTGGTCATTTTGAGAACTGATACCAAGCGGTATGTCCAGGATCTCCTACGAAAATAAAATGTTAATCCTTCGGGAGGAACGTGTTCTGTACTTTAATTTCCAATGGAGTAAAGCCTCCTGGATATCTAATTGTGGTACTTACTTCAATCTGTTCACCTTGTCCATCAGGTTCATCAGTATCAAGTGCTGACAGCTCTAACTCAATATCCCTATCAGGCTTAGTATCAGCTGCATCTTCTGTATAATCACTCTGTAATTAAGAAAAACACTGATTTCACATCTGTGGAAACTCGGGCTTCCCTTTTAAATTAAAATTGGAATCTCAATGACTGATATAAGAAAAGAAATCTGGGATTACAATTTTATTGCTACTGTTAAATTTTAAAAGCAATCATCCACCAGAAAAAGCCATGCTAAGTAATGGCATAAAATGCACTAAACAATGGCACAAAACAGCATGCAGCAGCAGCAAACAGCACATATCCTAGAGATGAAGCTGAGCGGGTCAGTGTCCTTACCTCTCCATTTCTCAGTTCAATTTCCTTGCTTAGAAGATTTAACGTGAGGTGACGGCCTTCATCCAGGGAATTCCACTTTTGTTGCATAGCCAGAGCATTGGCCTCCCTCTGAAGAAGCAATGAGTTACTCTTGGCCTAGAGGGGGAAAAAAAAAGGAGTCAGCTTCCAGCCTTTAGCTTTTAAATGTCATTCTTTTTTTAAAAAAAAAACTCAAAGCTGACTGACATAGAGCTTACCTGCTGAAGTTCAATGCTCAAAAGGTCTCCAGTACTGGAATGCTTTCTATGACCAGATAAATCGGTAACAATGAATCTGTCCCTTTAAAGAGAAATATGTTTACTGTTACAAAATGAAGCAACTAAAGAAGTAATGACTATATGATAGCTATATACTATATATGTTTTACATAACAGATCAACCCTGAAAGTTTCAATCATTATTTCAGATGTAAACTTCTTTCAGAAATTCGTTATATAGTTAAAACTAGCAAAGCACAGTTCATGAATAACTGGGACTTCCATCTGTACTTTGGGAATATAGACAAGTCTGAGAATAGAGAATCCTAAAGAATTAAGAGCAATGTTACCGTTCAATATAATGTGCTGATGATGTAGCCTCATTACCATATGAACTCCACCTTGAATCAACAGCATTGACATAAGGGACATAATCTGTAGAAAGAAACAATGACCAGAAAAGTGAAAAATTAAGATACAGATTTGAATGTATACTTTCAAAAAAAAAAAAAATCCACATTATCTAACTAGCCATGCTCTCCTGGCTAAGCCGTTTAACTCTAGGTTTACAGTGGTTGTTAAATGGAGAGACATGTTCTATACCTAACAGAGTGAGGATTATAAAGCACAGTGCTAGAACATACCACGTGAAGTATTAATGATACGGATTACCTGATACACTGATGGGCTTGGTTGCACTTCCTTGGGAAGCAGTGGCCTGGACAGGGTCCGTGGTATGGTAACCAGTACGGGAAGATCTAGAAATCGCACCCCATTTTGAGATGATAGGTCCATCACTAAAAGGAATTATTGGATCTTCTTCTTTTGTCCTTCTCTGAGTTTCAAATAAATGCACTCTTCTCTTAACATCCCCACTGTCCAGGTCCTGTATAAATAAAAGAAAATAAATAGATCGTGGGCAATTACTTCAGCTAATAATACAAGTAAATGTTTTCAAAAAACATGAAATTAAGTTCTCTGGTAAATTTAACATTAACTGTATATCTCAGTGATAACCCAACATCTATTTTTAAAACACTCCACTATGTTCAAATAATTTAAACACTAGGTGCAATTTATTTCAGACTTACCTAAATATAACTGCTGCTTACAAATGAGTTACTGTATATAGCAACAAAATGAAGACGAAAGCTTTCAATCATTCTAAAATTTGAATCAACATGCATAACCCTTGCCCCCCAAATCATACCATTAATACCGCATTTGAATTAGCAATAACATCTCTGGGCTCTGAATCAATAGCATTTATACAAGAACCGATGGTGCCACAAGACCAGGGAGAATAATGGGAAAGATGATCCTCTTCAAATTTTGTGCCACTCACACTTTCAGAGAACTGGTTAAAAAAAGAATGAAAAATAAAAACAAAGGCAACTGGTAAGAAATTTAAACTACAAACTTGTAACTAATATAAAGTAACTATTATAGAATTCACAACACTTTATAGTGAATAATTAAACATTCAATAACTAATACAAAAACTGTAATAAGTTACAAATAGTACGTATTTATATTATGTCTTAATAGGAAACAGAAAGCCTTCTCTTTTTTCACTTTGTCCTTTAAGAACTCATAAGGAACCCCGGAGTGACACTACCCAGAACAATAAACAATTTACAGCATGCCTCTAACATGGTACAAAGTGCTCCAAAAAATGAAAAAAAGCAAAAGAAAACACACACATACATAAACACATACATAGAAATACATTTTCGTATTAAGCAAGTGGCAACACTCTTCTCAAGATGGTTAGCTGCTTTGAAGAAGTCTAATTTTGATGAGATAAATTTGGATCGGGATTGGTTCAAGATGGCAGAGTAGAAGGACATGCGCTCATCTCCTCCTGCGAGAGCACTGAAATTGCAACTAGGTGTTAAACAAACATCGACTGGAGGATGCTAGAACCCATGAAAAAAAAGATACCTTACATGTCCAAAGACAAAGAAGAAACCACAATGATGTGGTAGGAAGGGTACAATCACAATAAAATCAAATCCCATACCAGCCAGATGAGTGACCCACAAACTGGTTAACAATAATACCAAATAAGTTCTCCCATTATTGTGAAGATTCTGAGCCCCAGGTCAGGCTTCCCAGCCTGGGGATCTGACAAAGGGACTGGGAAGATGAATTTAAAAATTCAAATTTATGGATGGAAAAATATGCTATTTAGGATTTTTTAAAAATATGATGTCTACTTTAAAAATCTAATAGTTATGGATGGAAAAATATGACGTCTAGGATTACTTCAAAATAATCCAGTAGGAAGAGGGGCTACAAAGGAAACAAGATTGGCTGAGTTGATAGTACATGGAGTTTATTACTATTCTCCTTTTGCATATGCTGAAATTTTTTGAGTTTAATGAAAAGATTAGAAAAAAAAATTTTTATATTAGTATCTCTAGGGATAGGGAATAAACCAGATGACTCAAAGAAAAATTAATGGTTTGTCCTAAATACACAGTATGGAAAACAGGGTACATTAAAACAATCCTGGTGCAAAACCTGTCTTGAAATGATAAGAACAATAATTAACAGTGATTTAAAACACCATGAATAATATAGTAGGCATTTCTGTACTTCTTGTGAAGTAAGGAAGAAATGCCTCAGACAGACCAAAATTCAAATCCAAGCTATTTATAGGCTGAATGTATTACCTGGGCAAATTACTTAACTTCTCTGAGCAGGATTCCTAACCTGTAAAATATGGGTAATACCTGCCCCCTAAGGATTTTGTAAGAATTAAATAACATTATGGAAATGCTTAGCACAGTGCCTGGCCAAGTAAGTGCTCAATAAATGGTGGGTATAAATCTTATTTATAAATAAAATCTATAAAAATAAGAAGAACTGTAATGCTGGAAAGACTTGAATTCTTTGTGGAAAAGGAGCGTGATTTGTTAGTGGTCTTCAGTGTCACAATGCCTGGCCATAGAGTTTACATACTCAATGTTTATTAAATTAAACTCAACTGCCACCAAACCAATGCAAAATATCCAACACAGCTAACCCTAGCTTGAATGAGTGCTCTGAAGTCAGTTGTCTAACCTGTCCCTGCAACATCAAGTGATTAAAACCTTTCTTTCTTACATCAGTGCGAAAGTCTACACTGAATAGAGGAGAAGGTGGTGTTGGTGACTGTGTTGCCACAGGAAGAGTTGAAGAAACAAGAGGTGCTTTCTGAGTGTGGTACTGTGCCCACTGCTCTGGCTTTCTTCTTATCTGCTCCTCGCAACTGGTCTTCAAATGACCACAAGGTTCCTAAGGGGGGATAAAAGAAACAATCTTAATCATCTAGGGAGCAGTAAATAAATTTAACTATGCTCTGTGTAAATAATGTGAACATTTATTATACTGTTGGGACAAAAAAGAATACAGAAGGTTAAGTCTCCCTAGCCTATTCTCCATACACTTAAACAAAAGGGTTTAAATAATGTTAAAATCTGAGCACTCACTTTTCTGGTTTAGGAAAATCATATGTATATATGTGGGGATAGGAAAAATAGGCCCTGTCTTTGTATCTTGAAGATTTCTTTTTTACTTTCTGATCAGTTTCGTATCCAAACATAACATTTATTGAGCATGTATATGCATCAGGTCCAAGTCTAAGAGCTTTTTCTGATTTAATCCTCACAACAGCCTTATGAGGTAGGTACTACTATTATTTCCATCAAATGTGAAAAAACTGACAGAGAGAAGTCAAGTAAATTCCATTAAGTTACACAATTAGTAAGTGGAGGAGCCAGGATATACCCAAATATTGTAACATCAGACAACAGACTCTTAACCACTGTGCTGTACTAGCATTCCTAGTTCCATTATCACTTACCCTTGGTAAAGGCACAGTTGTCCTTGGCTCACTTGGTGGCTGACAAGCCACTGAATAATACCCATCTAATGAGTTATATCTTTCTCGCAAAGACGTCTGATACACAGACGAGTGCATCACATCCATTGGAGGTAAAGAATTGCTTCTAATAATGTCATCTCGTTGGTACATAGGTGGGCGCCAGATGCGCCTGCTGTCATACACAGGAGCATACATTCCAGAAGGTACTGGAGGAACTGGTCCATACGGCTGCGGAGGAGGAGGTTGGTAAGGAGAAGAATTCATTCGATCTCGAGGGGAAAATGTACTGTAATGATCGGCATATGGCATGGAAGCAGGTGGGAGGGAGGACTCTGGAACATTATTGGACCTCACAAAGCGAGGAACACAGGGAGCCACACCAGCTGGTACCGTTGGAGGTGGTGGGTAGTATCCTTGAAAATTGGAAAGAGGAATATTTAATGTAATTTTAGTAAAATTTAACATCTTATAATGGTTTAAGTCTAAAGCAGCCTTTAATGTGGGAAAATAACGTAAGTTCTGAATTTTAGTTACCCCTGAATTAGAAAGATACTACATGCTTTCAAGACACCACTATATGAAAATCCTTAACATTCAACATTTTGTTAAACTGTTCCTTAAAAACATACAATGAACTATTAACAGATGCCTGGTAAATTTCCTTCGAGGGCATGTACTGCCACAGGTTTTGGTTTAAGTAATTAGTTAGATCATTGATTCTTACCCTTTTGGGGAGCACATATTAAAGACATCCTTCATAATCTATATAAGCTATGTGCAGTCTTTCTAAAATTATACTTTAAGTGTATATAAACCAAACATTTAGTATATTATTTCAGAGGATATATAAAACTCACTAATGCTCATCCATGAACCCCATATTTGATTCATAGGAATGAGAAATCTTAAAACTATTGGAATGTAGAATCATAGATTCTTAAGACAGGAAGAAAACTTAAGGGTCATGCAGTCCAAAAGATTGATTTTTTAATGTAGATATTCTAGATAGATATAAATGACTCACTAATTTATTACAACAAATGTTATATTGTAGTTTCTTTTTCATAGAATTATCTAAAATCACTTACCAGTCTGTGGGTACTGTGGGACTTCAAAGGGTATCTGAGTCCTTGGATCTTGAAAATACTGAATGTTTTCAGAATGCTGAGGATATACTGGTACTCTAGTGATAAATGGGCTGGATTTTGGAGGCACAGAATTCAGCTCTGTTCCAGCATTAGTGGGCCCAGCTGAGGTAGCCGCTACATTACTTACAGGAGTCTTAGGTGGAGAGCCAATTTTACTAGAAAGAAAATTTAACAAAGGCAAATGATAAATCACTGCCTATGTCTGTTAAGTCTTCCTCAGTAGGAATTTCTCATAAAATTATATAGTGACCATTGACAGACAACGCTTCAGGTTTTTCAGGTGACAAATAAGGCAATGAATTTCACTGCTACCTTACCCTGTTAGTTCACAAGATTATAGTAAAAGATCTCATATTTTGGTGAGGGTGAAAAATAAAAAACAAAACAAAACACAAACAAATTCCAGGTAGGATTGTTCTATTAAGAGTTAAGATTGACTGAAATGTAAACTCAATGAAGAAAGGCCATTTTTGTCCATTTTGTTAACTGCTAGATCCCAAGGACCGTAAACAGTTTGTGGCATATAGAAGGCACTCAGTAAATATTTGTTGGACAAATGGAAAAGTTCCTGCCACATAGTAGGTAGTCAGTAAATATCTGCTGGACAAACAGAATACCAATAAAATGGTTACTCATTAAACTGATGCAAAACACACAAGCTTTCTTTTATTCAAAAAAAAAGAAAACACAAATTATTTTTTTTGTTGAGTCACCACACGATCAGTTCCAGAGGATCTTACCATGGCTTCTTACACCCTCTGAAGAAGTCAAACTCTGGCAGAAAGAAGATATGTGGTAACTGAAGAATAAGATCTTGTTAATGATGCAGGAATTCAATACATTGCATCTCAACTAGATTAGAGGGTTCTTCTCAAACTAGAGAAGCCCTATTAAAGCAACAGTATAAACAACGAGGAATATGGGATGCCTTTAAGTCTAGCTGAGATTAATCTAGAAGATGCTTACTCATGTGTATTTGTGTATCAACATGTAGAAAATAACTAAGAAATTGTAGATAAGAATAGTAAGTACAAACGGCTTAGACGCTAAAGGTATTTCAGTGCTGGGCTTCCTCTGAAGTTCAATAAAGGTAAGAAGGAAATTAATTAGGATTTCCTCATAACAATAGTAAGTCAATTCAGTCACTCAGTCAGGTCTGATTCTTTGCAACCCCATGGACTGCAGCACACCAGGCTTCCCTGTCCATCACCAACTCCCAGAGCCTACTAAAATTCATGTCCATTGAGTCAGTAATACCATCCAATTATCTCATCCTCTGTCATACCCTTCTCCTCCTGCCTTCAATCTTTCCCAGCATCAGAGTCTTTTCAAATGAGTCAGCTCTTCGCATCAGGTGGCAAAAGTATTGGAGTTTCAGCTTCAGCATCAGTCCTTCCAATGAACACCCAGGACTGATCTCCTTTAGGATGGACTGGTTGGATCTCCTTGCAGTTCAAGGGGTTCTCAAGAGTCTTCTCCAACACTACAGTTCAAAAGCATCAATTCTTTGGCGCTCAGCTTTCTTTATAGTCCAACTCTCACATCCATACATGACTACTGGAAAAACCATAGCTTTCACTAGACGGACCTTCGTTGGCAAAGTAATGTCTCTGCTTTTTAATATGCTGTATCGGTTGGTCATTAACTTTTCTTCCAAGGAGCAAGTGTCTTTTAATTTCATGGCTGCAATCACCACATGCAGTGATTTTGGAGCCCAAAAAAATAGTCTGACACTGTTTCCATTGTTTCCCCATCTATTTGCCATGAAGTGATAGAACCGGATGCCATAATCTTAGTTTTTTGAATGTTGAGTTTTAAGTCAGCTTTTTCAGGCTCCTTTCACTTTCAAGAGGCGCTTTAGTTCTTTGCTTTCTGCCATAAGGGTGGTGTCATCTGCATATCTGAGGTTATTTATATTTCTCCTGGCAATCTTGATCCCAGCTTGTGCTTCATCCAGCCAGGCATTTCACATGATGTACTCTGCAAAAAGTTAAATAAACAGGGTGACAATATCCAGCCTTGACATACTCCTTTCCCAATTTTGAACCACTCTGTTGTTCCATGTCCAGTTCTAACTGTTGCCTCTTGACCTGCATACAGATTTCTCAGGAGGCAGGTAAGGTGGTCTGGTATTCCCATCTCTTTAAGAATTTTCCAGTTTGTTGGATCCACACAGTCAAAGGCTTTGACGTAGTCAATGAAGCAGAAGTAGATGTTTTTCTGAAATTCTCTTGCTTTTTCTGATCCAATGGATGTTGTCAGTTTGATCTCTGGTTCCTCTACTTTTTCTAAATCCAACTTGAAAATCTTGAAGTCCACAGTTCACATACTGTTGAAGTCTGGCTTGGAGAATTTTGAGCATTACTTTGCTAGCATGTGAGATGAGTACAATTGTGTGTTAGTTTGAACATTCTTTGGAATTGTCTTTTTTGGGGATTAGAATGAAAACTGACCTTTTCCAGTCCTGTGGCCACTGCTGAGTTTTCCAAATTTGCTGGCATATTGAGTGCAGCACTTTCACAGCATCATCTCTTAGGATTTAAAATAGCTCAACTGGAATTCCATCACCTCCACTAGCTTTGTTCATAGTGATGCTTCCTAAGGCCCACTTGACTTCGCATTCCAGGATGTCTGGTTCTAGATGACAAGGTTCAAAGCCATGTGAAATCATGCAAGCTATCCCAAAAATTCAGATTTAAGGGAAAATTTAACTTTCGAACTCATTCTGGCCAGACAGCTAGATTACTATAGCTACATCCTAGATGAGTTTCAGGATTCCAGGCTCTCCTTCACAGTAGACCTTCTTCAGTACAGTTCGGTCGCTCAGTCATGTCTGACTCTTTGCGACCACATGGAATGCAGCATGCCAGGCTTCCCTGTCCATCACCAACTCCAGGAGCTGGCTCAAACTCATGTCCATCGAGTCAGTGATGCCATCCAACCATCTCATCCTCTGTCATCCCCTTCCCCTGCCTTCAATCTTTCCCAGCATCAGGGTCTTTTCCAATCAATCAGTTCTTCACATCATGTGGCCAAAGTATTGGAGTTTCAGCTCAGCATCAGTCCATCCAATGAATATTCAGGACTGATTTCCTTCAGGACTGACCAGTTTGATCTCCTTGCAACCCTCTTACCTACATGCTTTTGTCTAAGCTGCTTTTTCCATTGACAAGACCGTTCCTTCCTAACTAGTCATACTTTTGGAATGGTTCAGGTGTCATCACCTTACTGCTAAAAAATTTTCCACAATTAACTTCAGAGAGAATTATTGCTATTTTTTTTTTGTTTCAGTAACATCTGGAACACAACTCCACTGCAGTACCTTTCAGAATATATTATATTTGTTTATATGTGTTTCCCAAACTACACTGGAAGACACTTAAGAGGTAGGGAGTATATTTAGTTCATTTTCATTAACTATGCCAATTGGCCTGATATTTGGCACACAGTAGATTTATAATTTTTGAATCAATGAATAAATGATTTATTTACTTAGACTTTCTTATTTTTGAAAGTTTTTAAGAAATGAGATATAATTTACTCTTGCAAAGTGTACAATTCAGTGATTTCTGGTGTATTCCCAAGGTTGTGCAACCATCACCATTATCTTATTCTGCAGAAGCATTTTCATCACCTCTCAAAGAAACCTGTTCTCATTAGCATCTATTTCCCATTCCCTTGTTCCCCCAGCCACAGCCTCTAGCAACTACCTATCTACTTTCTTTCTCCTATGGATTTGCCTATTCTGGACAGTCACATAAATGGAACTCTACCATAATGGCTTTTGTATCTAGCTTCTTTCACTTAACATAATGTTTTTAAGGTTCATCCATATTGTAGTATGTACTAGTACCTTACTCTTTCATGGTGAGTGACATTATGGTTTTACAACTTTACCTTGCCAAAACCTTTCAAAAGTTCATCATTTCCTAAGCATGTTTTAACACAGGTCTCCATAATCTGGTGCCAAACTACACATCTAAATCTTCTTCCCATACTTCTCCCAGCAATATAATATTTTCCTGTTCTTTGATCCAACTCCAATATTGCTTCACTTATGTAAATGTTGTCTCCCCCATTATGTTATAAGTTTCTTAAAGGCACAGATATACATCTCATCTCATTTTCAAGAGTGCCAAAAGCAGAGCTCAGAATTAGTGTATAAGGAACATGTGCTAAACTAGACAATGTTCTCTATCTCTTCCAAGACCTCTCTGAGGGAAGACTATAAGAATCATTTAATAAACAAATTTCCCTATTGCAAGCTAATTGCAGAAATAAACAGTACAAATGTCTACCTATCCATTTATTATTTGAAATCACTAGTAATTTACTGTGTGCCCAGCTTATATGGCATACAATAGATACTGACAGACTATATTTATGGGCAACATAATCTGAATATGTTTTACCTCAGACTTTAAGACACTAAAAGAATACAAAAGCCTGAGACATTAGAGATGAAAGTAACTTTTCAGATAATTTGAAAAATTTAAAACTTTTTTCTTAAAGTACCAAAACCTTTCTACCAAAGTAAGTCTTATGCTGAAACCCCAAACGACAACAATAATAATAATAATAGACGCAGATATTTAGTGAGTGCTATGTGGCAGGCACTGATCAAAGCATACTGCAGTATTAAGTCATTCAGTTCTTACAATCAACATACGAGGTAGATAGTATCATTATATCAATTTTATAGATGAGTAAACTGAAGAAGACAGATTAAGTAACTGGCCTAAGATCAAACAGCTAGAGAAGAGCGAGCCAAAATGAACCCACAGAAGCCGGCTTCAAAGATGTCTCTCTCTTAACAACTACCCACCATCACAGAGCACAGAGTGGAACTGTTCTAATCGAAACAGGGGCTGGAGGCTCAAGCAGCTCACCTGCTTAGTTTTCTACTTAGTTCCTTTCTGGCACCTCTATGGACTCAATCCTAAAGTTCAAGGAAATAAGGTGTGAAAAACTCAATTCTGGTTCAACTTCTTCACTTATAGTTGAAGAAAACACCCATAGTTGAAGTGAATTTCCAAGGTCAGAGGGCTAATCAATTGCAGAGCCAGGACTAGAACTCAAATTTTTTTGGTATTTAGTGCTATCTCTACTACATGAAATAATATGCATAAAAATTCTGATAACCTGCTCTTTTAGGATAAATAAAAATACTCAGGCAATTATAAAAAGGCTAAATTACTCATGTAAACATTTTTACCTACTACTTACTTTTCAGTTACAGACTCTGCAGAAGGCCCAGCAGCATTCTGACCATTGGTGCCAACCTTCCCCACCTTCTTCACAGTCTCCAGAGCTCTTAATGTACTGTCAGTACTACGTGGAATTAGCTGGGAAACACTGTTTTCTGCATTTGAAATTCCGTTTGTACTTGGAACAATTTTCCCCGTTGTTTCAGTACTTCCTATGACAGAAATGACATTTCCGGCTGTGGTTGTGACAGTGTTGTTTACACCAACTTTATTTAGAAGAGGAAACGTTCTTACAGTTGCATTGATCTTTTTGTTCCTTAATCGATACCTGTTTCAAAAACAATAAACATATCAGTAAATATTTCATTAACTATTACCCTAAGTTTAAAAAAAGGTCGGGGGGAGGTGGGCAATGGGAAAAAAATTTCAAGGAAGGAATAGCTTTGAAAAAAACTTTATTCAGCTAAATATCAAATAATATCAAACAACTATAATAGCTGGCACATTAAAATGTCTCTCTCATACACATATGTATACATATAACACATGTATTTAGGCACACAATTAATATAGCAAGAAAAGTACACATGTATTCAAAAAGCATTCTGAGGCAGTAGAAAAAGATCTTTCTGAAAAACCCTGTATAACTGGAATACAAAGTAGACTATGTGAAAAATGAAAAGAGCCAACATCAAACTTAGTTGGGAATGTAGATGAAAAAGTATGCAAGATTTGAAAGAATTCTATTGTTGCCAAGTTGTTAAAGCATCGTATAATTTTAAAGAGATTAAAAAACCCAAAACTCATTCTTAAACTCCAAGATATATAAATTTAGTATTATATTTTTCAGATTAGTTTATGACTAAAGTATAAAGTATTTGGGTTAAAGATTTTTCTGACTTTAAAGATCTTTCTTTAAAAAAGCTTTTCTGATATTAAATTTGGGGCTGATATAATACTCTAATACATAAAGCAATTTGATCCTGGATTCAATTTAAGAAAATTTATATCCACTTATACAACAAAAATTTCATTATAGTCCTAGTGAATGTTCCTACCAATACTTTAACGTGGTAAACAACTATGTTATATGAATAGAAAGATGACTATACACATATGGGGTCGTAATTACACATAACTAAATTAATCTGATACCAATGTTATACATAAACATATGGTAATTAAATATAAACAGTGTTGGTGATGAGCAATGCCTTCACAATAGTTTCCCTTTTAGTCCTTCAGTATCTATAAACAGCTTCATTATTCAATCCTTCTCCCCATCTCTCCCATACACACACATTGACAGATAAAGCAAAGTTCAGTAAAGACAAGTATTCCCAGACCAGACTGGCTAAAGGTGGAGTGACAGAATACAAAATTTTTTAAAAAAGCAATAGGTTATAGCCAGTTTACACATATCACCTTACCGCTCTGGGGAACCAATGATTACTTCTTGAAAAAGGAGGGTAACAGGCAGACCTATATTTTAAAAAGGCAATTTGGTGGCATGGAGGGGTCTGTGCTTTCCTTAACATACTGCTCTGAAACCTGCTTTGCATTCTTCACCTCAAAGGTTCCTGCACAAAATGCCCAGCTGCTCCTTGCTTTCCTTTCTCAAAGGATAAAGCTTCAGATATCCTTAAGATTGCTCTTGCAGGTGAAAAATAAAGTTTTAACTGTGGGTCTCTTAAAAGAAAGAAGTGATGAGAAATAAAACCTTAACAAAAGAAAGTAAAGTAAAAGTTAAATAGGGATGCATACTGGACTTCTGGCATCCAGGCAGCTAACGACTTAGACTTAGAATCTGGACCTCACAGATGAAAAAGTCAATTACTTTCTATTCTTTTAAAGTCATCAAGGAGCCCCCACAAGCATTTGCTCCCTGCCTTACCAAGTTTAGAATCCATTATCTACCAGTAATCCCTACCTTAAACTCCCTTGGCCCAATTACCTTGTTGAACTCACCTGGTAAAGCCCCAATCCAATTTGTTACTTATTCTCTTATTCTGTGCCTGCTCAAGTAGGTGACTGTTGCTAGAGAAAAATCATGCAATCATGCTGAGTAGATTCATTTCAAAATTATGATCAATCACTTAAAATGGCCAAGCAATACATTAATATACTTCTTTACTAAATTAACTCTCATGTCTAACATCCTCTTCCCTTTCACTCTCCATAGCCCCATCAAAGCTGATGATACTGCCTCCCACTTAAGAGAGAGAATAGATGACACCAGAGGAGAGTTACTTATCTTTCCATCACTAATTCCACCAACCTTCCTGCTTCTGGTAACTACACATTCCACCTAAAATAAGGGATGAAGGGCTACTGTTCTTAACTCAGGTCAATATCTCCACTCGCACCCCAGGCCCAAGCCCATCTACCTTCTCAAAAGACTTCACTCCTATAATCATCTTTTCTTCTCCAGTGCATCAACGCTTCATTCAGGTGTCTGCTTAAATGTCATAGTCTCTGGGATCCCTTTCCAGACAATCTCATCTAAAATACCCCCCCTTTTCAGTCACTCTCTCCCCTTACCTTGTTACTTTTCCTCATAGCACAATCAGCACCAGAGAGTATGTTTTCCATTTATTCACTTTACATTATCTTCTCTACTACAGTGGAAGCCCCATGAGAGAAAGGATTTTGCCCTTTATATTCATCTGTCTTTAGCACAGTGCCTGGTGCACGCTAGGTGTTCTATAAATATTTGCTATATGAATGTGTAGTAATCCTTAAACTTCACATGGCCAAGAGGACTACTGATTTTCTACCCCCAAGCATTTCCTATCTCAGTAAAAGACATCACTTAGTAACAAAGACCCCAAACCTTGGAGTCATCCTTGCTTCTTTTTTCTTTATACCTCACATTCAATCCATTAGTCAAATCAGCTCTACTTCTAAGATATATCCCAAGTCTGGCTATTTGTCATCATCTCAATTACTATAATCCTAGGACCAAGCTACTAATCTTATGCCTGAACCACTGCAGCAGTCCCTCATGTAGCTACCAGAATAACATTTGTAAGACAAAATTAAAATCCCATTGTTCCATTTGAATAAAACACTAAAATGGCTTCCAAAATAAAAGGCAAACTCTTTGCCAGTGTCCACCAAGCCAGTATGATCTGCCCTTGCCTAACCTCTCCAACATTATCTTTTTCCATTCTTCTCATTCTCCATCCTCCCAACACACTGGTTGTCTTTCTAGTTCCTGAACTTGTTTCCACCTCAAGCCAACCTTGTTTCCACCTCAGACTACAGCATTTTATCAGTAGCTGAAATTATCTGTTTACATGTTTAATGTTCCTCTTTCACCACTAGAAGTACCTCAAATAAGTACCTAGCACTTAACAATCATTTTTAAATGTATTTGTTGAGATGCTTGACCTCAGGCTCTTGTCACTCTCCAGAATGCAGTAATCCTTGGGAAAAGGATTCTGATACCCTACACTCTAAAATATACTCATACAAATATTAAGAGAGATCTGGGGCATTTGTTTGGTTAGAGACATGTACAGTAGAGAAAGTAGGCTGGAGTAAAAAAATTAAGTTAAACAAACATTTGCATTCGAATTCCTCTTGGTACATTATGTGAGTTAAGAAAAAGGATCCATCCTCAAAAAGTCTGAGTTGGGTAGCAACATGCATTTTTTTTTAACCAACAGGATAATGACATCTTTCACTTCCTCAATGCTTTGTATTATCCCGTTTCTCCTTCTTTTTATTTAAGGGCAACAGAGTATGAAACTGGTTGAAAACATAAACTGTAGATTATCTGTTCTTTCAACATAAATATACTGAGTTTACATGTCAGATACTTGCTAGGTTCAGAAAATATAAAGATGAATAACCCATAAATAAATGAAGTACAGTGAAAATACACACAGTAAATAAATAAATGCAACACAGTAAGCAAACTGGTAGTTATAAAGTTACCAGGTATAGGGTACTATGCAGCACAGTGAAGGTAGCAACTAACCACTGCCTGGAAGTCACAGAGGTTTTCAGATGGAACATGCTATCTGAGTACAATCAGGAAAAGGAGCTCTCCAAACAGAGAAAAGGAGAGTATATGATATAGAGTGAACACACGTACAAAGGAAAGAAGAACGAAGTGTATAGTAGTAAACTGGATGTATCTTAAAAAAGTAACACAAAAGGTGGAGTATGGCTGGAAACCAAGACTGGGCCCAGAACCAGCAATAATATACTAAGAACCAATTAAGAATTTAAAGCAGAAGATGGACTGATTAGACACTTACTTGTAAAATAAAATCTTGGTTGAGACATAGGGAGATGCATGTAAAAAGCTACATAGTGTAAAATGGACAAACTGGGTAAACACATACATATGAAACATTAAATACTGCACCTGGCACAAAATCTGACCAATTAATTTGGCTTATTTTTACTACTACTATTATAAGTTCAGGCAAGAAATAATAAAGTTCTAAAGTAGGAACTGGAGATAAAGAATAGGAAGCCAATTTGAAGATATAAGATGGAAAAGGGATTTTCAGTTGGGCACCAGTTGTAAGTATAATGGCAATGAAATCACATAATTTCTTCTCCAACTTTTTTAAGTTTAAGTCTTCCCAAAGGTGGTCTCCTAAATGGGGAGCATTGAGAGATAAGGTAAAAAAGGTAGGCCGGGGGACTTCCCTGGCTGTCCAGTGGTTAAAACTCTTGCGTCCAATGTAGTAGGCACAGGTTTGAACCCTGGTTGGAGAACTAAGATCCTACATACAGCACGGTATGGGGCTACCCACCCCCCAAAAAAGCAGGCGTAAGTAGATGACACGGAGACTTGCAGGTCACAGAGCAGACTTTATCTTTATCCACAGGGATTCCTAAGCTTCTAATTGTCTGCAATGAGCCTTAAATGCAAAGTGCCCCCTATTTTGTCAGGAATTCCTATTCCTATTTCAAGTGTCCCTATTGTCGGGAATAATGGGGTTGAGGGTAGAAAACCACAGCTATAAGATAATTAGGAGGCAACTATGAATCAAGAAAAGGGGATGACAGGTTAGACTATGAGGACAGAAAAAACAAGTAAGAGTCAAGAAATATACAGGAACTGACAGACCTGATGACTAAGACAAGCAAGTGAAAGCTGACAAAGATTATTCCAATAGCATGGCATATATAACTGACTAGACAGGGTACACCTGGGAAGAGTAGACAGACGGTGTATACAAGAGAAGACATCAATATATGAGAGGAGAAAATTAGCTCAAATTGGATTTAAAGTATCTAAAAACAAAAGAGAGATGTCCATTAACAGTTGATATGCAGGCCAGATATTCAGTAGAAAGGTTGGAATCAATTTTTGGTGAGATCTCAATGATGTATGTTTTGGTTAAAAAACAAAACAACAAAAACTTGGACAACATTTATTGCAGTTTATCTCCATTTACTTTTATGTCTGGGGTAAGTGGACATAGGAAAAGGGATTACCTACAGGACAAGAGAAAGGGAAAAGAAATGTTAAAAAGACCAAAAGCCATAAAAAGAAAATGTATCTGCTTTACTATTTTACCTGAGACTCAGCTGTTACCTTCAATAGAACCTGAGTATTTAAGACTCTAAGCATAAGAACATTTTCATTCTGCACAGGTGCTTAGTGGAAACATGGGTTCTAGCTCTACAATGGTCTAAAATTAGATTCCTGAAAAAGGTTCACTTGTTAACTATGCTGCCAGAAGCAACAAGGTATGGTTTCAAAAGAAGAGGTTATTTTTCAATCTAAAGAATTCCATGATGTGGACTTAACTGCATCTTTGAAACTCATCACAAACTTTGACTCTATATGACTTTTATGATGACCAAAAATTAAATCCAAATAAAATAGAGTTCTCTTAACTCACTTTTCAAGCTCTTCCTGAGAATGGGCAAAAGTACAATTTGTTCCTCGTGGACACCCTCCTTGCTGTCGCAAATCTCGACACATGCTGGTCTTGTATTTGCTGTTTGGCTGAGGCTACAAAAAGAAAATCAATATGCGGATAAATGAAGATTTCAGTTCTCACTCACTCCTTGGGACGTCAGAATTTATGATGACACCTTTAATTCTTTTTCACATTAGATAATTCTTGTGCTCACATAACTACCACTGCATTATTTCCTGTTATGAGTTAAGTGACATATTCATGAGCTGACATTTTAGATACTCCTTCTGAGGATCATCAGGAACTAGCTCAAATGCTGCAATACTTATCTGTCAACAAAACGCCCACAAAAAAAAAAGATTTTTTCATCAACTCATTGATGTCTCAAAATTATCAAATCAAACAAACAATGTCAAAAAGTATTTAAAAAGCTGTAAGCTTTGTCTACTTAAACAAAAGGAAGAATAAAAATTACCCTAGAAGTTAAAATTTAAGAAACACTAATTTTACTTGTCAACTTCAGAGTACAACTTTCTTCCAAGGGGTTGGAGCTAAGTTCATACAAATAATGAGGCAAAATATAAAAACATCATGATTGCTATAATTTGCCTCAAACTCTAAGACATCATTTTTATTTCTGTAAACTTAAGATGAAATATTCATCTTTTAGCTAATACTTGAACATTATAATGTTTTCTAATAGAATAAGGACACAAGAGTGGAAAGATCACTTTGGAGTAGATTTGATCCCAGTTCTGTCACTTACTGCCACCATGATCTTAGATAGGTTATTTAAACTCTTTCAACTTCAACTTGGGGACAGCAGCTGCTTTGCAGGTGGCTGTGAGGATTAAAATAATCTATGTAAAATATTGAGACTGTCTCATAATAATTTAATAAATGGATGTTATTATTAGAATAAAGAGTTTTACCTTACATAACTCCTTCAAAAGTACATTGAAAATACTTTACTTCCACACATTTACAAATATGAACTCACTGGAATGGCAGCAAATGAGAAAAAAGTGACAATTTCCCCAAATTAAGAAAAAATCAAGCAAAATATCTGGATGGAATCAGATCTACAGCCAGTCAAAAAAGCTTGTGGTGAACTGATATTCAAGACACTCCCCAAACTACTGCTGTACTAGAATTATTTATCAGGTACACTAAAACTTAGGTTTCTCTCAAAAGAACAGAGAATAAAAACTTATGTGACAGGGCTGTCACATAAGAAGTCCATTAACCAAACAGCCTGTTAAGATGTTCAGCATGCTCCATTAGAAATAAGAGCAGTCAGAAGAGAAATAACTTTACTTACCTGAGGTGTCTCATGGCCTTTTCTACTATAATTTTGTATGAAGTCCACTAGGCCATGGACCACTGTTTTAACAGCTACCATTGCATTTTCTAGCTGCTCCCAAGTTGGTGAAACAGCATCTAAAATAGTCCGCCAAGCAGATGAAATGAGGAAAACAAATTCGTTAGCAGTAAATTTCTTGTGTATAGGAAATAATTTTTTAAAAAGCATAAGCAATTATATTCTCACATACCTGGATTAGGGTCGATGTTTGCAAGAAGCTCTAAGTGAGGCCTTAATCTATTTAAGTTAGCTGGGTCACCTGTTCGTTGCAAAACAATTGTCAATTCCTGAACACTCTTTGCAAAGGATTCTGGAGACTGCAGCTAACACAAAAAGAAAATCAAAAGGTTTTTATAACACATCTATATTCAAATGCTTTTATTCAGTCAACATACTGAACAGGTTTTCAAGTGTCTTCAGATTCCACAGTAGGAGTATCAATGATGAATTAAATTTTCACCTCAGAATCTGCCCTATGAAATTCATCATTAGACACATAGAAAACTTATTTATTAGCTATCTGGTGTCAGAATCTAGATAAATGACAGACTTGGTAAGCCAGGCTGTTTTTATGTCAATACCCATATCTGCTACCTTATTGCCTCCCTTAGTTTACTATTTTGAAAGTTAGAAAATAACAAAAAAGATAGAAAAGATATCTGTGAGATATGTAAGGAATCTCCCAACTGGTTGTCTTTTTAGTTCCTTCAGAAGATTCAAATATTCATCAAGATTAACAACAATGATATAAAATTAGCATCTCTAATTTCACAAACCTTATCAATGATCGACTGCATGTGTGATTTATGCGCCAAGTCACCATACAAAAGTGAGGACCACTGCTCAGGTGAAATACGGAGTCCTGCTTCCATAGCAATATGAACAATTTGGGCATCATGTTCTCTGCGTAAAGCCTCATAACTGCGGAATTCCTCCTTTAGCTGCATCAGGGAAGAGTCTTCATCCCTTTTGGTAACCTAAAAACAGAAAAGAGAAAAAAAAAAAACCCACCAGATTTGCTTTGCTCTCACCACTCCCCCAACCAACTTTTTCTTTATTTTAGAAGGGGAAGGTACCTATAGCCTATCAGATACAACATGGAGAAGGTACAGAAAAATAATCTACTTACTAAAAATTCTTAAAAGACACTATCTGGGACTTTCACAGTTGGAGAGAAGTCAGTGCCTGTCTTCAAAGCTCAAAGGACAAGATGACTCTTCCGTGAGGGGCTAATGTAACTGGCGATATTAAGTTGAAGCCAATCCTCATTTACCTCCCCCCAAATCCTAGGGTCCTTAAGAACTACACTAAATCTACCCTGCTGGTACTCTAGAAACGGAATAACAAAACCCAAATAACAGCACATCTGTTTACAATATGGTTTACTGGGTATTTTAAGCCCACTGATGAGACCTACTGCTTAGAAAAAAAATTCCTTTCCAAATATTACTGCTCATTGACAATGCTCCTGGTAACTCAAGAGCTCTGATGGAAATGTATGACAAGACTAATGTTTTCTTTCCTGATAACACAACTTTCACTCTGCAGCCCATGGATCAAGTAGTAATTCTGACTTTCAAGCCTTATTATTTAGGAGATACACTTTTGTAAGGCTATCGCAGCCATAGATAGTAATTCCTTTGATGGATCAGGGAAAAGTAGAGTGAAAACCTCTTGGAAAGGATTCACAATTCTAGATGCCACTTAGAACATTTCGTGATTCACGGGAATAGGTTAAAATATCAATATTAACAGGAGCTTAGAAGAAGATTTCAGCTCTCATGGATGACTCTGAAGGATCCAAGACTTCAGTGGAGGAAGTAACTGCAGACATGGTAGAAATAGCAAAAGAACAAGAATTAAAGTGGAGCCTAAATATGTGACTGATTTATTGCAATCTCACGGCAAAACTTTAATGGAGTTGCTTAAGATAAGCAAAGAAAGTGGTTTCTTGAGATAGGAGCTATTCCTGGTGAAGATGCTGTGAAGATTGTTGAGATGATAATAAAGAATTTAGAATAATACATAAATTTAGTTGATAAAGCAGCAGCGAGGTTTGAGAGAATTCACTTCAATTCTGAAAGAAGTTCTGCTGTGGGTAAACTGCACACCAGAGAGAAATCATCTGTGAAAGGAAGACTCAGTTCATGGGGCAAGCTGCACTGCTGTTTTAAGAAACTGCAATAGGCACTCTAACTTTCAGCAAGTACTGCCCTAGTCAGTCAGTCATCAACAATGATATAAGACCCTCCACCAACAAAAAGACTAAGGCTTGCTGAAGGCCCAGGTAATAGTAAGCATTTTTAGCAATATTTTTAAATTAAAACATGTACACTTTTTTCCCACCATGCTATTGCACAGTTAAAAAACTACAGTATAGTGCAACATAACTTTTATATATACTGGGAAGCCAAAATATTCATTACTTGCTTTCTTATTATTTGCTTTACTGCACTGCTGTGGAACAGAGCCTTCAGTATCTCTGAGGTATGACTATCATCCTGTAGAGAATGGGAAATCACTGAGAACTTTTAAGGAGAAGAGGGACATGATGGTTAAGCAAATATTAGAACTACAGCTGATGATTAAGAAATTGAGAAATTTCCTGCCACCACAAAAAAGATTATTAGGGTATTTTTACAGCTTTAATCTATACTTAAGTGACAAAAAACAAATTCAAAGGTAGAGTTTCACATGTCTTACTGAAACTAATTATCTAAAAGTATGTAGCTAGTTAATTTTCACAATAAAAGATAACACTTATTTCTAAACCATAAAATCTGCTAATGGCCATGTGAAATCTGATACTTGGTTAGAATTCAGACCACCTTCTGAAAAGGATGGGCATACCAGATTACCTGACCTGCCTCTTGAGAAACCTATATGCAGGTCAGGAAGCAACAGTTAGAACTGGACATGGAACAACAGACTGGTTCCAAATAGGAAAAGGAGTACATCAAGGCTGTGTATTGTCACCCTGCTTATTTAACTTCTATGCAGAGTACATCATGAGAAACGCTGGGCTGAAGGAAGCACAAACTGGAATCAAGATTGCCGGGAGAAATACCAATAACCTCAGATATGCAGATGACACCACCCTTATGGCAGAAAGTGAACAGGAACTAAAAAGCCTCTTGATGAGAGTGAAAGAGGAGAGTGAAAAAGTTGGCTTAAAACTCAACATTCAGAAAATGAAGATCATGGCATCTGGTCCCTTCACTTCATGGGAAATAGATGGGGAAGCAGTGGAAAGAGTGTCAGACTTTATTTTTGGGGGCTCCAAAATCACTGCAGATGGTGACTGCAACCATGAAATTAGAAGACGCTTACTCCTTGGAAGGAAAGTTATGACCAACCTGGATAGCATATTAAAAAGCAGAGACATTACTTTGCCAACAAAGGTCCGTCTAGTCAAGGCTGTGGTTTTTCCAGTGGTCATGTATGGATGTGAGAGTTGGAGGGTGAAGAAAGCTGAGCGCCGAAAAATTGATGCTTTTGAACTGTGGTGATGGAGAAGACTCTTGAGATTCCCTTGGACTACAAGGAGATCCAACCAGTCCATCCTAAAGGAGATCAGTCCTGGGTGTTCACTGGAAGGACTGATGCTGAAGCTGAAACTCCAATACTCTGGCCACCTCATGCAAAGAGTTGACTCACTGGAAAAGACCCTGATGCTGGGAGGGATTGGGGGCAGGAGGAGAAGGGGACAACAAAGGATGAGATGGCTGGATGGCATCACCGACTCGATGGACATGAGTCTGAGTAAACTCCGGGAGTTGGTGATGGACACGGAGGCCTGGTGTGCTGCGATTCATGGGGTCACAAAGAGTCAGACATGACTGAGCGACTGAACTGACTGACTGACTGAGGCCTAGTACAGGCTCTGAAACTTAAGACTGAACACATTGTTCAAACTCTTCAAATTGATGATTTCCTCATCAGCAAAACGAAAATATCCCCAGACCACCTCACTGGTTGTTTCAGTTGCTACTGGTGGCACAGGAAACAACAGTAATATGACCTCTAGTACATAAAGATTGAGAAATCAGTCTGAGAGTTAATAGTATCAATTCACAATTCTCTTTGAGAATATATAAACATATTATAGAAAAGTATGGGACCCAAAATTCTAATCTACACGATCTTACGTTTTACTTAGGAAAGAGCAGAGTATAACTTTGAAATCTCGAAATAATCTATTTAAAGAAACAAAACGAAGAATTATTAATCTAAAACACAGAAAAAAGAAACCTAAAAAACCAGGGGGTGGTAACACTCATCCAACCAGCAGGGTACAGGGTGCCTCTTGGGTAGTATGAACATCTGTCCGCCTGAACTGTAAAGATGTATGTATTATAGGTGGCTTGCAGAGCCTGGCCTATTCAAGTTCTAATAACAGGCATCAGAATCACCCATGAAGTTTTGAAAACTACCAATTTCAAGTAACCAGAATCCCTGGCTTTGAAGACCACATAATTAAAAAGTATGTATGAATGTTCAAGTTGCACTGATGTATTTTTATATCACATAAAACATCTAGGGATGGGACCAGGAATGTATGTACACTCTGCAAAATCTCACAGGCGATTCTGATGTGTATCTTCATTTTGGAACCAGTGCACTGAACACTGGAATCATCAACTTCCCTTGCTCTGACTCCATGCTAAGCAAGCAAAGGTTTGATAATCTTCTACTGGAAAATATCTACAACATGAGAATTAAAGTCATTTAAGAGCTGAACCTCTAATTGCAAGTTAATAAAATTGATAACATGTAGTATGTGACCTCATTTGTGATTCTGCTTCTGAGAAATGCCCAAAATTCAGGTCTCTAAGTCTACAGTCAAGGAAAAGACCCTGACTCACTCATTGTAGTTTACTAGAGTAAATGTCCCTGGAGAGAGGTCTTTGAGCAAATGTCAGCATGATATCCTTTTATTCATCAAAACACTGCTTTTAACACTTTAAACTATAGGGGAGTAGTACAGGATGAAATGAGAGCATGAAACTGAAATCTCTTTCTAAACTGAGTGTTATTCCAATGTCAGGTATTAGGAGCAGTTGTAGATGGATGACAATTATGAACCACAAATCTGCATGACACTGTTGAGGAAAAGAAACAACATTAAATCTGTAAGGCACAGTTTAAGAACCTAGCTGGTCACTTCAGGATGATAAATGAGCTCGGTCATCTGGATGCTTAGCCAAAAACATTGAAGAACCAGAGATTCATTTCAACTGTTTCCCTAAGGACACAATCAAGCACTGTAACTAGCAGGCAGAGTGTGTCCAACTCTCATTTGTGAAGATAACTCATTTGAACATATTTTCATCATCAATAACCTGTTACCTCATACTAAGCAGTGCACAAAAAAAAAACCTCCTTCTGCTTATATTGTTATCACTCTTGAGCTATAAAATCAGCAAAATAGCTTAAATAAGCCTTGGTTTCAAATCCAGAAATTTTACTTTTATAGAAGCCAATGGGCCTTTCTATTCCAAGTCCTTGGTCCCTTTGCTCAAGACCTCACCAGCAACCTATATTCCTGTATCATGCAGAAACTTCAAGGATTCAGCCTTCTTTCCAGGCCTCTCAGTACCTGTCATCACCCATAAGCCTATCTGACAAGGAAACTACATTTTGAAATAACTTAGGGTTCACCCCGACCCTCTTTGACAAAAACCCTATTATCTAAATGCATAGTGGGCAATCCTCAAATGTTACACTCCTATTGTCCCTACGACAACACATGGGCTACTTTCAGTTTAAAGGCTTTAATCTAATCACGACAGAGAAGGAGATAAAAATAATAATGCGGAAGCTAAAACATTTGCCTTCTTTTATTAAGTTTTCAGTATGGTTCCTGAATCTCTTTTAAGGTGGTAAATATAAATGAATTAGGCTTCTTCAGTTCATTTTTACTATTCTAAGAATCAAGTTTACCAAACTTGTTTCCTCATAGTGTTGCTGACACCTTTACAGTATGTGCTCTTACACCCATGCACACCCATATACATCTACAATATAACAGATGCAATAAATACAGAAGTTAAAGTCTCCTTTATCTCTTTTATTTCTGGAGCCTCTAGACCAGGTAACACCCATTCCAGGCATGCAATGTTTAGATGGTTGCTTGCTACTTACCTTAAAACAAGAAGCTCGATACAGTAGTTGCACAACATGACCAATACTTGTTTTCGATGCCTGAGGAAATCTTGGTTCTAGTCTTTGCACAACAAAAAGTACCAGAACTTTCCTTGAGAGAGCAGAACCATCTTCTAATGCCAGCAACACCAACTTCAAAGCCTCTTCTTGCATAGCTATAAGTAAAGAACATGAGTTCATGATAAATGAGGAGCCCTGCAGATCATGCCTGACACAGACTTCTTTGGATATTAGCTTATGGTGGTTCACTATCTCCAGTATGCAAATACTTAGCACAAAAAGAGAACATCATACACACACAAATATAGTTTACTTAGAAAGTAATCAAGGAAAAGACGTGTCCTACTAAACAACCAATCAGAATACACGTAAACAGATTTTAAACAAAATATATCCTCTACAGCTTTGTAATAGTTAACTAGATAATCATAATGTTGAAGTGAAAAAGGCCCTTGTTTATAAAACTCACAGAGCTACTCTGCCAAATAACATGTGAAGGACATACAGTAAATAAATGGTAATTTTTTTATGCTTGAGACTGTTGCTTTGCCTGTCAGAAGTATTTTGTATATGATTTAAAAGTGGTATTAGCTACTGGATGCAATACCTAAAGGCATCAATTTGTGTTGCTTTCCAGCCAGGGAGGTAAAAGTATAATCTGAATCTAATCATAAGAGGACATCAAAAAAACCCCAAATTAAGAACATTCTATAAAATAACTGCCTGTAATCTTTAAGAATAGCAACATTAGACAAAGAAAGACTGAGGAATGGTACTGTTAAAGAAAAGTAAAAAGAGGTATGATAGTGTCTTCCCTGGCAGTCCAGTAGTTAAGACTCTGCATTTCCACTGCAGAGGGTATGGGTTCAATCCCTGGTCGAGGAAATAAAGATCCTGCATGTCACATAACGGTTGTGACAAATAAATACATGACATCATCTTAGACTCAATCATAAAATGAAAAAAATTAATGCCATAAAAGATATTTCTGAAATAACCAACAAAACTGGAATATGAGTTTTAACAAATGTTAAATTTTCTGAATTTGATGAATGTATTGTTTTTAATAAGAAAAAGACTTCAGTGTAAGCAGTAAAGAGGGTATGAAATAGGCAACCTACTCTCAAATGGTTCAAAAAGGAAAGAAAGTGAACTATGTAACAAATAGAGCAAAATATTACAAAGGAGTGAATATGGATAAAGAGTACAAAGGAATTCTCTGCATTATTCTTGTAACTTTTTGGGTAATTTGAAATTATTTTAGAATTAAAAAGTGAAAAATATACTGGTCCTCAATGAAAACAATGGAACTGAAAGATTACCTAGAATCTAGATTAAAAATCAAATCCCTTCTTTTTCCAAGTGAGACATCAAGGCTCAGAAAAGTTAAGTGACTAGGCCAAGTTTGACAATCAGTAAGCAACACAATTATAACTAGAAACAAGGACTTTTTAAAAATTGAGGTAAAATTCACATAACATAAAATCAACCATTTTAAAGTAAACAATTCACAATGCTATAAAACCATCAACTCAATCTAGTTCTAAGACATCTTCATCACCTGACAGGAACTCAATAACCATTAAGCAGTCGCTCCCCATACCGCTGACCCCTGCAGCCTCCAGCAACTACTAGCCTGATGTCTAGTTCTATGGACTGACGTTTACATATGCAGAATATGTGACCCGTTCCCTGGCTTCCTTCACTTAAAGTAACATTTTCAAAGTTCATCCACATGTGATATGTATTGGTATCTCAATCCTTTCTATGGCTAAATAATACAGTATAAATATACCACATACTGGTTATCCATTCATAAGAACTGATGGGATGTCTGGATTGCTTCCACCTTTTGACTATTGTGAGTAACGCTGCTATAAATAAATATTCATGCACAAATCAGTCTGAATACTGTTTTCAGTTCCTTTGGTATATATCTAGGGGTGGAAATGCTGGATCATAAGGTAATTCTACATTTACCTTTCTGAGGAACCACTGAATTGTTTTTCCACAGGGGCTGCCTCATTTTACATTCCCAAGCTCCCTAACATCCTCAATTAACACTTTTTCCCCCACTTTTTAAATTACAGACAGCCTAGTGGATATGAAATGGTTATCTCATTGTGATTCTGATTTGCATTTCTTTAATGACTGATGACACTGAGCACTTTTCATGTACTTTTTCGCCATCTATGTATCTACTATGTAGAAATATTTATTTAAGCCCTTGGTCCATTTTTATAATTGTGCTATTTATTATCTTTTTGAGTTTCAGAACACAGGATATCTGATAACTAGTCTAGCGCTTCTTAGGCTTCCATGGTAGCTCACTGTTAAGAACCTGCCTGCAATGCAGAGGATGTGGATCCTTGGGTCAGGAAGATTTGGAGAAGGAAATGGCAACCCACTCCATTATTCTTCCTGGAGAATCCCATGGACAGAGGAGGATAGCTGGCTACAGTCCATGGTGTCACAAGAGTCGGACACAATTTAGCGACTAAACCAACACACCACACCTAGTGCTTCTTAGATAAGGTAAATAAACATGAGGAAATATCCATAGGCAGCATTCTCAAATTATATATAAATCTGAATTTTCAAAATTATTTTTCAATTTAACTGTATTATGTAAAATAAAATATATACAAAAGTAGAGATGACATGCATTCAGTAAGGGTTCATCTACTCATTACTCAATTTTCTAGTTTGTTCTAGCTGGAGTGGTTTGAAGTAAATCCAAGATAACATAGCACTTTATCCTTAAATAATTCATTATGTATTTCTAACAGGTAAGCACTTTTAAAAAATTAACATAATACTATTACCATGTCTAAAAAAAGAAATGTATTTCCTTGATATCATCTAATATCCAATCCATGCTGAATTTTCTCCCACTGTCTCAAAATTTCCTCTTACAGTTGGTTTCTTTGAGTATGCAGCCAAAGTCCATATGTAGCTTTTGGTTCGTATGTCTTCACGCTTAACAAGAAAAACCTATACTAGTTTCCCCCCACTCTCCCACCCTCCCATTTAGAACAAAATAACTGGTTGCAGAAACAATCATTTTTCTAAACAATATCCCACATTCTCAATTCATTTTAATTTTGTGCTTTTTTTATGGTATGCCTTTATCCTCCTTATTTCATGTAAACTAGAGACTTGATTAGATTTGAAGTAAGATTTTAGCTTTTCGGGGCTTTTTGGGGGGTCAAGCATACTTCTTATTCTGTGTATCATATAGAGATGTATATAAGACCTAGATGTCTCACTTTTAGTAATATCAAGATTCATCACTGGGTTTAGGCCTTTTGCATTTGCTAACATTTCATCTACTGGTTTTAACAGCCAATAGTAATTCTTACCTAGATCCATTAATTTTCTAACTTTAACATTTTTTTTCCTAAATTTATTAGCTAGAACTCTGCTAAAAGAGAAACTTACCCTCAAAATTCTGAGAAACTGTCCTTGAAAGCAATTTAAAAAGGCAGAAAAAGCATGATTTTTTTCTATTCCTTTTCCAATTTTTAGCATAATGTGCTGGTGCTGTAGCAACTGCCAAAGATAACCAATTAATTTTTTCTGTACTAATACTACAAGATCATGAATTTTTACACATTTTATGTTTTTTAATTCATTATAGTCATTATTCATTTGGAAGTTCAAACTGTCCCACTTTTGTCCAGTGGGAGCCTTTTCAAACTGTGTCCTTTTGACAAGATTCCGATGGTCTTTAACAGCTTTTTACTTTTTAGCACAAGACTTCCCAGGCTCATCTTGTACTTTTCTACCCTAGAACTAGGATAAGACATTTATTCAAAGAGCCCTACTTCTTTTGAGTATGAAATGCTATCTGGGTGCTAGGGCTATTCATTCCTTTCAAGCCTTTACAGTGGACAGTTAGGAAATACTTATTTTATAGAAAAAGAAAAATAAAGGAGTCTGTACTTATTTGCCAATTAAAATTTAAGGATGCAGGCTTTTTACATAAATTATTTGATTTCATACTTATATCTCTTTTTAAATGTCAAAAATCTTCATTTCTGATGGCATTAATATAACTACTTACATGCTGTATCCTAATTTGCTTCAAAATAACAATAACAATATGACTAGTAAATACAATCTAGGATTGTCAATTTTTTAATTGGGTTGTTGGTATTTTTCTTCTGAGTTTTTACAAGTACCTAATTATATATTGGGCTTTCCTGGTGGCTCAGATGGTAAAGAATCTGCCTGCAATACAGAAGACCTGGGATCAACCCTTGGATCAGGAAGATCCCCTGAAGGAGAGCATGGCAACCCACTCCAGAATTCCTGACTGGAGAATAATCCTCATGGACAGAGGAGCCTGGCGGGCTACGGTCCATGGGGTTGCAAAGAGTCAGACATGACTGAGCAACTAAGCACAACACACTTATGTGTTAGTTATATAAGCCCCTTGTACGTGATATTATATAAATATTTCCCCAAGTTTCTTTTTTTTTTATTTTCTTATGAGGCTTTATTATAATTTCAAAAAATTATATAGTCAAATATCAATCTTTTCTGTAATTGCTTCTGGATTCAGAGTCAAAGAAAAGAGTGTTTCCTATTTCTAGGTTATAAAGGAATTCACTCTTATGTTCACTTTTGTTGTTGTTGAGTCACTCACGTTACACCTGACTCTTTGCAACCCCACGGACTGCAGCATATCAGGCTTCCCTGTCCTTCACCATCTCCTAAGTTTGCTCAAACTCATGTCCACTGAGTTGGTGATGCCATCCAACCATCTCATCCTCTGTCATCCCATTCTCCTGCTGCCCTCAATCTTTCCCAGCATCAGGGTCTTTTCCACAGAGTTGGCTCTTCTCATCAGGTGGCCAAAGTATTGGAGTTTCAGTTTCAGCATCAGTCCTTCCAATTCAGGGTTGATCTCCTTTAGGATTAACTAGTTTGATCTCCCTGCTGTCCAAGGGACTCTCAAGAGTCTTCCCCAGTACCATGTTTGAAGGCATCAATTCTTGTGCACAGTCTTCTTTATGGTCCAACTCTCACAGTCATCCATACACTACTGGAAAAACCACAGATTTGACTATATGGACCTTTGTCGGCTAAGTGATGTCTCTGCTTTTCAATACGCTGTCTAGGGTTGTCAAAGCTTTTCTTACAAGGAGCAAGCATCTTTTAATTTCATGGCTGCAGTCACCCTCCGCAGCGATTTTGGAGCCCAAGAAAATAAAGTATGTCACTGTTTCCATCTTTTTCCCCATCTATCTATCATGAAGTGATGGAACTGGATGCCAAGATCTTAGTTTTCTGAATGTTGAGTTTTAAGTTTTTATTACCTATATAATTTATTTTTTAATCATAAGTATTTCTAACCTACTTAAAATTTATGTAGCTAGGGAATATAAGAAATACATTCATGCAAAAAAAAAGAAATACATCCAATTTTATCTTTTTCCACATGTCTATCCAGTAGTTCCAATGCCACCTAAAAAGTTTCCGTCACAGAAATAAATTATTCCTAGCCTATATAGTTCGAAATTAGAAAGGTAAAACAATAAGATATCACAGAAAAGTACTTCATAACCTGGGTATAGGTAAAGATTTTTTTTTAAAAGAATGCAGTTGATAGTAACTGTAAAAGAAACATCCTCTGGTGATTCTCATTTTTTCTAATAATTTTTCTGTTCCCCAATTTTAAAGACAATCATGAACTTTTAATTTTTTTCATAAAAAGAAAGTTTACTTTTCCTTTACTTACTACCTGTGCAATATCAGGCCTCTCTCTAATTCAGTTTTCTAATTTGTAAAGTTGGATCTGTGTCACTTAAAGACTGTTGAGAATTAGACAAGAAATTTATTTAAAAATCCTATAGCACTGTTCATCATATAAGTTATGATTAATAAAAACTAGCTGGAACTTCCCTGGTAGTCCAGTGGTTAAGAATCCACCTTCCCGTGCAGAAGACATGGGTTCGATCCCTAACAGGGGACTAAGATCCCACATGCTGTGGGGCAACTTAAGCCCATGCTGCACAACAAGAAAAGCCCATATGCTGCAACTAGAGAAAGCCTGTGTGCTGCAATGAAGACCCAGTGCAGCAAATACAAACACGTCAAGCACCCCAAGGTAGGGTGGTCATTATAAAAATTTAAAAAAAAAAAAGTTTATCTTTCATTATGTTAAAATTTGTATGTATAAATCAGAGCATTCTTACCTACTCCTAGAAACTGGCACCCTCCAGCCCTGACAGCCAATAAGACAGCGATCTACCTTACCTGGCCCCAGAAACTGGCATCCCCGAGCCCTGACAGCAGCCCACAGGTTGGCAGACAGCTGCTGAGGGTTCTGGTGCTGCAATATTAGCTCTGTTACCGTCCTCTCTCCAAGCGAACGGGCGGCTCGGATGGCTCTCACACGACCTTCTTCCTCCACCAGTTGACAGTTTACAAGTGTCACTAGTTTCCTTTGCATTGGACGGCTCAGTGCACTCTGGTTCAAACTAGCTACACCTTCAAGAAAAGGGAAACTACAGTTTTTTTTCAATTAAAATAAAAAAGTCAATTTCATTATCTATTTAATAAAAAGACCTAGTATTCAACTATTGAGCCACAATTTCTAGTGAGTTCCTTATAAGGTACTTTCATTTTTGACAATGAATGTTCTGTCCCTGTTTATTACTATTCTGCGGTAACTGGAATCTAAATTTCAATTACCTCAAATGTTATTTGGGTATTCTTTTCTTTGGGTTATATGTGTCCCACAAAAGACAACAATTTGGGTTTTTTTAAGTCTATTCTTCATCTTTACTAAAACCACTGAAGATAATTTTGGAGATAAATAAATGAAAAGTTAAATCTAAAAGTAACGATTAACAACACTTTTGTTCTGTTTTACTGTATTCAAGACATATAGAACATAGCTCCAGGACAATACCTTAAATCCAATTCCCTTTTTGACTAAAAGATACTGCTCCAGCAATTGTTCCCTCTCTCCTACATCAATTGTTCCCTTTCTACTTGATCATTTGCATCAACATACAGTAAGAAGAGCATGCTGTTATTTTATACATCTTAAAAATAAATCTTTTCATTCATCCCTTTACCACCACCCCTCTCCACCATGTCTTTCCTCCATTTTGTAGCAAATCCTCTAGTGTTGCCTATATTCACTATCTCCAAATCCTTGCTTTTAATCTTTAAAACCTCCTGCAATCAAGTTTTTGCAACCATCACTTGACCAAAACCGTTCCTCATGACAAGACTTACCTCCACTTTGCTACATCAGTGGTCAATTCTCAATCCTTATCTTATTTGACCTTTCAACAGCACTCAACACAGATCACTCCTAACTTCTTTAAAAACATTCTTTATCAGGCTTCCAGAACACCACTTTCTCTTAATTTTTTCCTTCCTTCATCTTTTCCAGTCTTCTTTGCTGATCTCAACTTTTCTTCTTGACTTCTTAATGTTAAACGGCCTAGGACCCAGTTATTGTTTTCTATACTCACTACTTATGTAATCTCAATCAGTCTTATTGCTTTAAATACTATTTATGCTAATGACTCCCCAAAATTACAGCTCCTATACCTACTCCTTAACATACATTTACCGGTTACCCAATAGCATCCGAGTGAAGACTTGATATAACCAAATTCAACATAACTAAGACTGAACTCTTGATCTTCTTACCTAAATCTGACTGACCTACAGAACTCCTTGTCTAAGTTGATGGTAACTTCTCTTTCTAGTTGCTCAGGCCCCGAAACTCAAGAATTACACTTGACTCAGCTCTCTGTCTCGTGCCCCACATCCAGTAATTTAGGAAATCCTTCTGACTCTACCTTCAAAAATCATCCAGACTGTCTACTTTCCACTACCTCCACTGCTACTAACCCTGTCCCATTAGCCTATTAACCAATAACCTGGTCCCAACCCTGTCCTTCTGCACTGAATTCTCAACAGAGCAGCTAGGGTGATCGTTTCACCATTAGTCAGATCATGTCACTCCTCTGCTCAAAACTCTAGAGTAATTCCCCAGTTTCACTTGGAATAAAAGTTCAACTTTAAAAAGGGCTGCAAGTCTGTACATCATCTGGTCTCACCATTTTTCTTCTACCCCATAATGCTTTCATCTACCCCATACCCTCACACCTTCTGCTCCAGGCACAGTTTCCTGTTGTTGTTTTTTGAAGATAATACGCATGTCTTGGGGACTTTGCTATTTCCTCTGCCTGGAACGGTCTTTTCCCAGGAACCTACATGGTTAACCGCTTCATCTCTTTCATCTCAAGTTCAGAAGCTACCATCTTAACAAGGTCTATACTAATCACCTTGTTTAAAATTGCAACCCACCCTTTTCCCCTCACTCTGACACCTTTTTTTTCACTCTTGACATCTCTGACCCATTTAACTGTATTGTTTTCTTTCGACAGCAAATATCATTTATAACATACTATACAATGTTTTTACTATACTTGTTGTTTACTATACTTTCTTTTTCCAAAACATAAGTGCTATAAGGGCAGACATTTTTACTGAATGTTTTCAGTAAGTGCCTGGTACTGACTACACGCTCTTTAAGTATCTGCTCCATGAATGAATGAGGTAAATAGGATATACTTCTCAAAGAAGTCACTATGTCCAAAATATCCAAGAGTGCAAAACATAGAGCACATTCAAAATAAATATTTGATTAATTCATTCACTCAACTTTTTATTACATCTATGATTTGCCAGTTACTGAAGATGGAGTGACAGAATTCCATTTCTGTCACAGCACTTACTGCACTTCTTTGCCCATCTAATCAATGGACTATGAGGTCCAGGAAGACCCTAGCCACTATAAGTGCTCCATAAAATTTAATAAATGACTGAATAAATACATGAAATTATCTTAGTAGGATTCATTAAAGCTAAAATTCTGCTATGGCACCATTAGTTTAATATAAAAAATGTATAAATCTCAACATATCTGATGAATTCTTAAATTAATAGCAATATTATCTCCAGAAAATAGTATAATGTTCTCAGTCAAAACGACATTCATGATCTCTCCAAGCAATCTCATTTTTCAAAACTAAAAATTGTTTAATAGGGTATCAACATCAAGTATTTCAAAGTTAATGTATTACCAAGGCCTACTCACCCATAAAAATACTTACCTTTACCTCCACTTAGTGGTTTTAAGTAGAGCGCCAAATCTTCAACACATTTCTTTGCAACCTCATAGTGTTTGTTCTCACCTAAATTACTTAACTTTACTGACTGATGATCTGGTACCTAAAAACAAAAAAAAACTGAAGAAATACATTCATCTAATTCATGCAACTGTTAACTTTACATTTGATGATAATCTTGGTGAGTATAAACTTCTAATACAGACACAATACATCAAACAAGTTTAAGTAAAATTAAAGCCAAGTACCTAGCCAAACTGCTTTCTAAGAACCAAGGATATCATACTTAACAGTATGGATTCGGTGGATTACTGAGAGGGAAAAAAAGGCAGTAACTAATTGTACTGTATCCATGTTATTCCTTGGGGATAACAATGCTATAACTCAGAAAAGTGCTAACATTAGGAAAGGCTATAGAAAGTCATACAGGTTCTCTGTGTACTGCTTCCTGCAATTAAAAAAAAAAAAAGCATGTCAAAATAAAAAGTAGGAAAAAAGGGGGAACTTCCCCCCTTAACACCTTCTTCCTATATAACTTACTATATTTTTTATGATCTGTCCCACCTTGTTCTCAATGCAAGGTCAAAGCTTGGGTAAAATTCTGGGCAGCTCTGCAATTTCTACAAGTGATCTTTAATAAATTATTTAACTGTTCCAAGTCATGGTTTCTTTACCTGCAATATGAAGATGAAAATCCCTATCTCATAGTGCCATTATGAAAACTCAGTTTAATCCAACAAGTATTTATATTCACGGAGTGCTTACCACATGCCAAGCAGTTCTAGGCACTAGGCATCTATCAGTGAGCAAAACAGGCAAAACATTTCTTGCCATAGCTTACATTCTAGTAAAGAGAACACATGGCTGATAAATAAAAATAATTAAATAGCATGATAGAAGATGATCAGTAAAAATTATACAGCAAAGATAAGGGGGATTTGAGAGTGTTGGAGGGGGACTACAATTTGAACAAGGGTGGTCAGGATAGGTTTCCTTGTGAATCATGACATCTGAATAAAGAAGTGAGTATCTTAGGCAAAACAGCACTTAGAGCAAAAGCCCTCAGGTGAGAATATGTATGGTGTATGTGACAGCTGGTTAGCAGGCCGGAGTGGCTTAAGCAGAAAGACTGAGGATAGTGCAGGAGCTGAGGCTGAAAAGGTAATGGAAGTCACATAAAGATCTGCAAAATAATTTAAGGACCAACTGAGAGAACATGTTTAAGTAAAAGAAAACCACAGTGTCTGACCTATGTGCCATGTGCTTAGTCGCTCATTCATGTCCAACTCTTTGCAACCCCACGCACTACAGCCCGCCAGGCTCCTCTGTCTATGGGGATCCTCCAGACAAGAATACTAGAGTGGGTTGCCATGCCCTCCTCCAGGGGATCTTCACAACCCAGGGATCGAACCCAGGTCTCCCACATTGCAGGTGGATACCAACTGAGCCACCAAGGAAGCCCAAGAATACTGGAGTGGGTAGCCTATCCCTTCTCCAGGGGAACTTCCCAACCCAGGAATTGAGCCGGGTCTCCTGAATTGCAGGTGGATCCTTTACCAGGGAAGCTCCACCTGATCTATAGCAGATGCTAATTAAATGATAGCTTAGTATTATTACAAATAATCTGTGGTATTTTATTGGATCTAAGATGCCACTGCCTGCAAGAGGCACCATTATTTTATGCACCCTTAAGAAAAAAACTGCTAACTATGACACATTGTTAAATATATATTTGTCTTGATTTTACAAAGTTCTAACTGGATTATGAACAGTGAAAAGAAACTGCTTTAAAAGAAAAACCTCAAATATCAAGACACTAAAAGAATGGAGTATTCTAATTCACTGAATTTTCTAAGAAGTGATTAAGAAAAATCCTTACTTTCTTGCTTTCATATGTAGTACTAAAATTGTAGTATTAAAATATGTAGTACATGATGTACAGAATTTCATCTTCCTCCTCACCTGTAAAATGGGGATAACTACCTGAAGAGCTATGACAAGACAATAATAGATGTGGACTGTTTACCAGCATACCTAAAACGAAGAAGGCCCTTATTAAATAGAAATTTTTATAAATCTAGGGTCTTGCTGATTCAGTAAAATGATAAATAAGAAATGTTATTTTTATAGCACATGCACAAAAGCAGAAACTGCACAATTTGTTACTGACACTCTAGAAATTAGTTTTCTATATATACATCTTATATATGTACATATACCTACATAGATCGATTTTCTTATTATATCATCATCCTAAAAGTCAGGCGAAGTTTTAAGGAACATCAAAAAACCTCCACTTAAGGGTTTTATCCAGATGGTCGATCTCCAGCTAAGGCTTTGATTATATTTCTTTTCATATCACCTAATGACTAAATACTTATACATGCTTATACAAAAATGTTTCTTACCCACCAAAATCACTTAAAAACATAAGTTTTGACCACAGTAGTGAATACAAAGACATATATAACTAAATGGAATTTCTACTTTTGCATAAAGATTTATGACATTATCTAAAGAAAATCATTTGCGGAATAATGCAAATCAGGTATGTGGAGTATTTTTTATGCCTTGAATATCCCTAATCATACTTTGTATCCCCTAATGAACAAAGTTCTATTATTACATATATCAAATAAGTAAAATCTTGAAAGGTTACCTGGGCTCCAACTAACTGGAGAAGTGCGAAGTTGACAGGAAGCACATCAATGTCTGTGTTGATGGCAGTCTGGTCAAAAGGACAAGCTTTTCGGTGAAGTTTATTCAAGCAGGTCTTGCAAACAGTGTGTGAACAACCTAAACTGATGGGTTTGTGCACGTTCTCATCAAATTCATTATAGCAGATTGGACAGGACAGAAATTCTGTCCATTGAGCTGCCTGCACAGGCATTGTGGAAGCTGGATGCTCGGGTTAGCAGTCTAGCAGATCATTATTTTGCTGTGTAGTGTTTTGTAAGCTGGAAATGGACAAAAGTAAGAATTAACCACATACTCATCATTCACCTTTCAAGGGTTAACTGCTTAAGTCAACCATCAAGCTTCAAAATGTAGAACACTTCTGAATAATTCTATACACTTTTAACATCTTTTCTTTACATCTATTTGCTGGATTAATTAAATTTCTGAAAACTCTGTGGCTAGAAACAATATCCTAACAGTGTTCCTTTCAACTAAACATATTTATATCAGTTGCTCATGAAAGCTTCCATGTATTTTTCTTAATGACCACGTCAAATAAGCAGATTAACTATTAATACAATTTCACTTTTAGAATTTCATTTTGTAAAAATGAAATTTTACAATTTTAGAATTTTTTAGAATTTTTACAATTTCATTTTTAGATTAATTTTTTAAGTGTTTCCTTTGGATATCTACTACCACCAAATGTATTATGATCCAAGAGTTAGTGAACTTTGGAAGTACTGATCCAAACAAAATCACAATGAATCAGGAGTGAAGGAACAGCTTTGCCACCTGAATGACCAAATCAGTGGAGGATTCAAGTTGGCAGCTTCACAAAAGAGGAACTCTCTGGTAAGGACGTCACTATGAGGCTAAGGCACTAAAAACGTATGAAAGAAAACTGTAATGACAGATTTGTTTGTGCATTCTCACAAATGAAAGAATAATGCTAACCTTAAAATAATAGTACCAAATTATTTTTAAAAAAATAGGAAAGAAAAGAAGAAATGACAAATCTTGAATTGAAAGTGAAGTGAAGTGGCTCAGTCATGTCTGACTCTTTGCTACCCCATGGACTGTAGCCTACCAGGCTCTGTCATCCATAGAATTTTTCAGGCAAGAATACTGGAATGGGTTGCCATTTCCTTCTCCAGGGGATCTTCCCAACCCAGGGATCAAACCCGGGTCTCCCACACTGCAGGCAGACACGTTACCATCTATGAACCACCAGGGAAGCCTGGTGAATTGAATGTAGTTCCCTATAGTATTTTTGACAAAACATACCATTCAGTGATACACACACACACACACAAAACCAAAAACAATCAGGTCCAAGGAGCAAGATGTAGAAGAATAAAATAATATTCTTATTTGATAATTCTAAATAGAAAAACAGCAAAATACAGTTGACCCTTGAACAACACAGGCTTCAACTACCCAGGTCCACTTACACATAGGTATTTTTCAACGGTAAAGACTCAGTACTACATGGTACGTCATTGACTAAATCCACAGATGCAGAGGAACCACGGATAGGACGGACAAATATAATTTATATGTGGATTAATCCCAACATTATTCAAGGGTCAACTGCATAAATTTCTATCTTTATATATGCATATGATTAAAAGGTACATGGGGAAAAAATGACAGTGATTCTTTTCTTATTCCAAAGATTAAAATGCTCTATAACTTTTAATAAACTAAAATATTCAGTATCAAAACATGTAATTTAAAATCTTTAGCTATCTAACTTGAACACTACATTCACCAATTTTCTGCATCTTCCAATTCAAAACTTACATAAGTCTAACAGAGGCTCTCTGGTGAACAAGAAATCTAGGTATTTAGGGCAATTAAACAGCCAAGACTTTTATTTCGTAAGAATGTTTACCAACACAAATATATGAGTACCACAGAAATTATATGCTTAAAAATGTAGTAAGATTCAGGATAAAAAAGTATGTAACTGATTCTCAAACAACCCCACACCCAAATGAAGTATTCTATTAACCTTTATTGTGCCTTTTATGTTCACAAAAACTAAGGTTTTAAAATGTATCTTGGTAAAAATGAAAGACTGAAGTTGCTGAGTAAAAAGCACCCTACACAAACTTTTCCTCAAACAGCTCCAATGTAAAGTATCTAATAACTTTATTTTCAAACTAGCCAAATCATGCAAGTTATATTTACTTTATTTTACACATTACACTCTCACATTTCCACATCTATGAATGTCATCAACCTTAAAAACAGTTTGCTTTTAACTCTAGAGATGAGGACTAAGCAGGTGAACACATCACACCTTCAAACTATTCAACATTTTTAATGTTCAGTGTTCTGGACTGTGGAATTGTACAAGGAAAAGGCCTGTAAGGAACAATGAATTTTATGTTAAATCTAGTACTGAGAGTCCTAATCTAGCTAATAACTTGAACTGATAAAATGTTTATCAAAGCAAGACACTGCATCTATTTTTTTCATAATGGCCACCTGTTTGGAAATGCTAATTCTGTGGGTTAGGGTATCATGGGCCACTGGGTAATAGGAAACTAGCAGCAAATACTCTTTCCTTATTTAGTTTTCCAAGATTATCCTGAAATGCTTTACATTAATCAGTGAGGGATGAAAAGCCATTAAGTTTGAACTGAACATAAAAATGCTATCTTGCATATTTTCACCTCCTAATTTTGAAGTGTTTCAAATTATTCCAGAATACACTTTATAATATGCCATATGTGTTACTAGGTTTAAGAACACCAGATGTTTTCATATAATTAATACTGAGAAATTTAATTTCGAGTAGAAATCAAACTAATATCTTTGAAAGAAAAAGAAAAAAATATGCCAAATTCTCCTTCTGTTATGTGTCAGATTCTAACTTTCTGACAGAAAAATTAAAACTGAACTTTCCTTAAGAAATGATTTGACCTTTTAAAATGTTTTTCCTTAGTACCACTGTAAATATATTCTAGATGCCTTGATTACAATAGACAAAATTTTGTCTAAAACACTAAAATGTTTAGTGATGACAAAATTGACTTTTCATTCCTTTCAAAAGCACTTAGTAAATGTCTACCTAGAAAATATTTTTGTAATTATCAAAAATGATAAAGAGCCTGTTTCTATAATTTATTTTTTAAAAGTATCTAAATGAATCATGACAAGCTAAGACATACATAGCAATTTATTTGAATCTGCAGAAATTTAAATTTCTAATAACATTTATATGTAATAGTGAAGTAAGTATCCAGCCTAAAGATACTGCCCAAACACCTCAAATTGGGATAAAATAGCTTTAAAAGCCCATACCTCTAGATATATAAAGGGACTACTTAAGAAAAACAAGTTAAATTCAAATTAAACTATTTGTATTAAGTAATTTCAGTTACTAAAACTGAAGAACAACAAGATAAAGCCTAAGAGTGAGAAACACTAAGAGAGACCTTAAACAGATTTTTACTGAAGTTTTCAGGCTATAAGTTCCTTGCTATGAATACAAACTCATAAAAAAGGAAGAGTAATAGACATCTCTTACATGATGCAAATTAGAAATTGCTTTATTAAAAGCAAACTGCTTATCAGCTAAGTACTTTCATTTTCTGTTACTAGTCTACCATGACATTATGCAAGTAGTCCAGGACTATGAAACTCGATTTTAAAATACCAGGTTAAGGTTTATGCCTCATTTACTACTGTATAATAAAAAAAATAAAGCATTTTACATTTCTCTTTATGAAGATGTAAACATTAGGGCTCAGGTCTGTTAATTAAAACATTCATTGTTTTCATTTTAGTTCACCCATGTGAGAAATTTAAGCTACTTTAATGGACTGTAACAGCACTTCTCAATTCAGAAACCTTAAGAACAGTAGTTCTGGACTTAAAAAATTTTATTTAAAGCATCATAGGTACAATTTAGGTCTTACTCTATAAAACTAACAAAACCAACGAAAATAATCTCTAAGCTCTAAAACTCAGCATTCAAACATACAACAAGGACTGGAAAAAGGAAATGAATTACCATTTTAAAGACTGCTATTATATGTGCTTTAGTGTATGTTAGAAAAGACATGACCCAAGTTTTATTTCTAAAATCCACTATGTTGTTGAACTCAGTTTTTTAATCAGTATGACATTTCACTTTCAATGCCTTCTATTAGAATAGTAAAGGGATAATTTTCTATTTTAATTAATATAACCAATAAAGTTTTACTACTTTAGTCATGACAACTTGCAAAATACTTTCTTGAGACAGAACTTACTCACTTATGCCTATTAAACAATGACCACTGGATAACTTCATCTGTCACATCATCAGTCTTTAGCCTTTTGGTTATTCTGATTATAAGAAGATAATCTACCAGGAAACTTTTGGCTTTCATATGTCTACTTCTATTCAGATGATTTATTTCTTGGAAAAGTAGGGATACTCTAGAACAGCATTGTCCAGTAGAAATACAATGTGAATCACAAGTAACTTAAAATATCTAGTAGCCAAAATAAGGCAGTGAAAAACACGTGAAATTAATTTTAATGATAATTTATTTAACCCAATTTATCCAAAATATCATTTCAACATGTAGTCAATGTAAGAAATTATAAATTATTTTTATTTTTTTGGACCAAGTCTCAAAACCTAACATGTATTTTACATTTATGGCACATCTCAATTCACACCAGCCACATTTCAAGTGTTCAAGTGCCACATGTAGCTATTGGCTAGTACTGGACAGTGCAACTCTAGAGTACTTACAAAGTAATAATCAAAACTAACTTTTATCAAAAATGTGAGGTTAAAGCGATATCTACACTTATGAAGGTTTTCATAAAACTAAAAAACTTGAGGATCATAAAAATGTTACTTAACATTTATGAGGCTAGGTTTACAACATTATTTTAAATTTTCAGCTGGCTTTATTTTACTACGTGCTTCCATTTTCCCATCAACAGAACATGAAATTTTAATCTATTTCAAACAAAACAATAAACAAATACTTATTATAATGAGATCTGATTGTATGAGATCTGATCTTTGATATTGCATATAATGTGGAAGCTGTATTCCTGAATATAAAATTCTGGGGAAACAAAAATGCTTTCCCTCCCAAAAGAATTTTTTTTTTCCTCAAACTGGAATACACAGCAAATTACAAAAGCACAAAGTGAAATAATTAAAACATATGAACAAAGGACATAAGTTTTACA